GTTGTTGGGCATAACACCCCCCCCCCCCCACCGCTTGAAGCGTGATTTGTGCTTCACATCAGCCCTGTTGAGCTGGCACTGCCACAATGGCATTGGGTTTGTATCCATCTCTACACATTGTCTTACTTACTCCTCATATGCAAAATACATAGCAGGGTAGTGCTAGGTGTGTAAGGTTAACTACTTTTACACCTAGGCATTCCAGTGCTTCTCTACACCTGGAAAAACTAGATCTGTTGAATTTTGTCTGTGATGCACTTCTGTAGTGTATAGCTCCATAAGCATTCTCAATATTTTTTCTAATATTTTATAGGCTTGATAGGAAAAACAAAACAAAACAGAATTTCAAGTGCAAGTATGTTGGAGGAGGACTAATGGCGGTTTAGTAAGATGGGAGAGGCATAGAAAAATGTTCACAAACCACCCTAGAATGATTGTTCAGGCTGAAGTAATTAAATAGTAGGAAAAAATAAACATGATTTAGGTAGATTTGGCAAGAAGTGAGGTAAGAACACAGAGACCCTTTTGATACATGAGGGGTAAAGAAGATTTTTGGTAATATACAGGAGGTGGGATGAACACTCTTAGAAGACAGAGATAATAGAGTCAATATTAGTTGCAAAGCTCTAACAGACATGTATAACTTGTGTCTTACTGAACTAACTGCAGTGTATCAAATACACAAGTACTAGAAAAGTTATTATTAAACAGTCATACACACACGCAAACACACTCGTAACAAAATGTTGCCTATTATTAATGTCTTTTTCATAGTATAGTTGGCTACCGTTAAAATGGCTTCCTTGCAGTAACCAATTTGTTAGGTTTTTGGATGTTCTCATTTTGGTAGGGTATACTCTTTTGTGAGGTACTTTTGGCATTGTATTGTTCTGTATGGTACTGATGAGGGATAGTTGTTTCTGACAAAAAAGGTAGAAATTATTTTAATTGTTCTGAGCAGTGCCCTCTTAAGGGAGGAGTTAGCTCTGTGAGAGCCTTCTGTGAAGGGAAGGGAAAGACAGTTGGAGCCCACTTTCCCCTTGTTTCCCCCCTTTTTCTTTATTGAACACTGGAAAGAGAGCTGTCTAGCCTTTCTCAGTTCCCTTGTGCAAAATGAGCCAGCCAACTGAAGTTAGCTTCAAAGAAGAGTTTGCCTGGGAATTACAATCACTTTGTGAGATTTCAAAGATTGCCTCACTACAGGTCTTGAGGAGCTACAGGTGTCTTATACCACTCTCCTTCTGAGGGCCCTTGCCAAAAGCACCTGTTTTAATAGCCATTGGTGTATCAATGGATCAGCCTGAGGCACCTTTGCCTGTTCAGTCTCTTGCTTTGCTGTGGAGAATTGTGTGGCTACAGGGCTGCAGTCTTCTTCAGCCTGAGATGAGTCCACATTCACCTACAGCACCACAGCTGTCTTTGGCAGTTTATTTGTCTGTCAGGTTTGCTAAAGAACATTTTAAAAGGTGGTGTGTACAAACTGGTTGTAGGAAATTCTGCCTCCTCTCCACCTTCCACCTACCTCTTAGTCACTGTGCCCACCTGTTCTTTAATGATGTCTCAGCTGTCTTTTTATAACTTCCCTCTGGCTTCTAGTCAGTCCGAAGAGAGAAGCAGTTGGAAGTGCCCAAACTAGGGGGGAGAAGCACTTAGAAGTCAGAGAGAATGGTTTTAAAGGACAGTGGATCCCACAACTACAGAGATTGGGGTGAAAATAATCCTTCTCTCCCACTTGCAAGGCTTTGCAGTTGCAGGCTCAGATGTCCTTTTAAAACCTCCCTCTGCTAGTTAGCCATTAATACTGCAGGAAAAACAGTGTTAGAGATGGGCAAGTGGCAGCAAGGAATCCTCCCCAATCCCAGCTCCAGTTCTGCTGTTGCTTCCACCCCTCCTCCCCCACCCATTATCTCTCTGTGTCTCTCTCTCTGTGTGTGTGTCTCTCACTCTCAGCCAGTCAGCCTTTCTTGATATGGTGGAGGGGGAGAACCAGGTAGAAGCCTCCCCCCTGAGAAAAGAGGTAGGTATGAGAAGCTCAGATGTCCTTTTAGAATATTCTCCTGATA